TACTCTTTCAGTGATTGCTTCATAAATAACAATTACTTTACCCAGTAGAGATTTATTTCTTTTACTAATGTCATGTTTCAAAATTAATAGTGAGAAAATTGATGTGTTTATTGAGTCATTAGAATGAATGAATAGTGTAGGTGGCAGGAGGCAGGTACATTTTGAAGCCAGTTGTTCTCTGTTGCTTACTCATTTTTTTCTAAATTTCTAAATCTGAACTTCAAAAGTAAAATGAAAAGTTAAGACCTCCCCTAATCTAGGTCATTATTTAACCCAAGGAAAAGCTATGGTTATTATTTTTATACTGCTGCTTTTATACTAAGGTTGATTTTTTTTTAAAGCAAACACTAAGCAAGAAGAAATCACCCCTTTTTGAGCTTTTCTTTCTACCCTTTCTRTAATACAGAGGGGATTCTATCAATAAAGTGACACTAAATAAAGATTGTAGATTTTAGAGAACTTTGAAGTGTTTAATACGAGTAGAATAATAACATAAAGGAAGTTTGGTATGCTAAGAATGAGAAATTGGACATAAAGGTATAAAATGGTAGTATTTTTTTATGCTTGATAAATGAATATAGTCATGGAATAAGTAAGGTACCTGAAGGTAAGGCCTAAGACTGATATTTTGCTTTCCCTAAGTTCCAGGAGCATTATCTAAGATGAAAGTCATATTCAGCATGGTTTATATTCCAGGGTCAGTGTCTTGGGATGGAATGCAGGGTCTTTACAAGCCAAGCATGATTTCTACCACTGAGCTGTATCCCAGGCCTTAACATTCTTATTTTACTTTTCTAGGTGCACACTGATCAATAGTATTAAATACTAATTATCCTTAGGAGAAGGCCAAGTACTGATGTGAACATCTTTCCGTAATTCTATTGGAATGATCCCATTCTAAACATAAATTTCTTTCAGATTATTGGGGAAACTCTGAAGAAAAGTGATTAAAACTATAATCTCTATGAAATGCTGCATTGATAACTATCTTGATGTTCATTTTCTGAGAACCTTAATGTGAGATAAAATTAACCATTTGAGATATAATTAGTCATTCTCAAAATGGAGAAAAAAGGATTTTTTTAAAAAAGCAAAAAAAAAATAATCTAACAATGAGAATTGAGTTCTAGAAGAGGAAAGAATCTTTTACTAAATGTTATCTCAAAAGACAGTCTAGTTTGATATTAATTAGATCTGTCTTCTAATTTTCCAGAAAAAAGCAGCATGATGCACTACAGAAGACCCTGCATTAGACAGGGGTGATAAATTCTTTTAATTCATGGCCATGGACTGGCCACTTGGCTTGGAGTAAATGGATAAATCCTTCCATCTACATCCGTTTTTTTTTTTTTCCCCAATGGTGATACGCAATGGTTTCTTTGCTAATGATGCTGTGTTTTGTTTAAAAAAAATGCAGCATCTTTCTTGGGATCCCTTGAAATATATTTTAATTTCAATTGAACATTATATCATATTCATAATATATTATCTTGTAATTGTGATAAACCCAACAGTTTACAATTCATKAATCCTCATAATTCTGTAATATATGTTGAATATTTCTTGGTGCCTAAGACACAGTAGACACTCAAGAAACTTTAATTTCCTTTCTTTTCCCCCATTTTTCAAAGAGTAAACATTGACAAGTAGAAGAACACCAAGGTGTATGTTCTTCCAAACCCAAGACACAAAGTTAATATATTTTTTTTCTTATTTTGTCAGAAATTCATGAGAAATGCTCAACTACACCCACGTATATATTCTTCTACTACTACTACTACTACTACTACTACTACTACTACTACTACTACACACGCACATACACACACACATACACTTTCATTGCAAACATACTTTTTGAGACCCTACCATTGCATTCTCACAGGTGTAAAAATGAAAATAATAGCCAAGTAAATTAAATATAAAACAATTTCCAGGGCGAGTGATGAACCTGAATGGTAGAGCTCATGCTTAGCAGTGCAAGGCCCTAGGTTCAATCCCAGTGCTGAAAAAAAGGAAAATATAAAAAACAACAATTTCTGTTTTATAATTGAATTGGATAAAATAACTAAGACATGTCTGATTTATTTAAGAATTAAATTGAGTTTTCTAATTGAATTCTCATATTTACTTATATTTTCACTAGGAAATATGTTAATGTGTTAGCCCATTCATGTCATGACCAGGAAATAGGCTTCAATATTTATCTCTAAATAATGTAGAAATAGAGGAGAAAAAAATAATAAGCTACTTGAAGAAGAGTGCCGAGTGTTCATGCCAGAAGTAGGATTAGAAATCAGGGTGTTTTTGGTGTTGTTAATAGTAACGATACCAACAATAATTTATTGGGTGCCAGAAGAGCACTGGTTTCTAGGCAGGCTTGCCTGCCAGGGCTGTTGCGTTTTGTTTGCAAACAAAGATTTTTTTTTTTTTTCAAACAAAGATCTAAGTTAATTTCAAGAGATTTGTTCATATGGGTTTTAAAAACTCATACTATTGAGCACAAAACATTTTCAAGCAAAATTTCCAATTTTAAAGCCATGCATATGCAATTAATTTGTATTTGGCTAGACAATTTCCTTTCTGATAAAATTTTGGAAAAAAAATCCCAGTGTTCATTAAACAAACAAACAAACAAAACACTTGCAAGACAAAACATGTGATTTTACGTGTCTTTTGTCCAACCAGCATTTTCAACTTGATGTCTTAAAATATGGCTCATGTTTTTATTTATTTTCTTCCAAAATTTTATCAGAAAGGAAATAAAGTCTTGCTAATTTTATATTTCTAATGTGACAGYCCATACTCTGTGCCTTTTTTTTACTGGAAATGAAAGCTATACCAACCAGGCCAGTCACAAATGCCTCAACAAAAGAGCCAAACAAAACCAAGGCATTGGGATAGTTGACAAAGGCAGTGTGGACAGCTGAACAGATTTCTGAGAGCATTTAATCAACATTAATTCTTTCTTTGCCCTGCTTCTCCTTCCTACATTTCCAAGTTGCAAAAGCAAATAGTGTGAACTTTCTGATTGTAGCTTCCTTAACACTTTTGTGGAAAGAATAATATCTTGCTTTTCAGCCTCATTTGTTTAAGTAGCATTTGTTTGAGTGCCTTTAGAATGTAATTCAGATCAGATCTAAAAAAAAAAATGCTTCAAAAAGTATAGTAATAATATTGTTAGCTTGCTCAGAATTTATATTTTGCTTCTTTCTAAGAACCTGTGGATTACAAAAAAATGTGATTATGTTTTATCTCTTTTTCTTTTAGGCACCAAACGGTCTCCCAGCTGTGAGCAGTTTTGTGTCAGCATCCAGCATGGCTCCTTACCCCACCCCAGCCCAAGTGTCACCTTACATGACCTACAGCGCTGCTCCTTCTGGTTACGTTGCTGGACATGGGTGGCAACATGCGGGTGGCACCCCACTGTCCCCCCACAACTGTGACATTCCGGCATCGCTGGCCTTCAAGGGAATGCAGGCAGCCAGAGAAGGTAGTCATTCTGTCACCGCTTCTGCACTCTGATGAGAAATTCCGTCTCCAGCAGCTGCTCTCGGGTCTCCCCTTCTCAGCACATCCTCCCCACTTTCCCAGGTTTCACATCCCACCCCTCCTGCCTTCCACCCTTCTTGCCTGGAGAGCTGGCTTTACAGACTCGAATCCTTTGTGCTGATGACACTTAAATATTTCTTGCCATAACCTCTTTCTTGCAGAAAACCTGACACGACTTAGGATTTAAAAACAAAAGCAACGTTAAGGATTGAATGAGACTTTTGTGTTGCCCACACACTGTTTTAACGTAGTGAAGAAATCTACACCCCTCAAAGGGCTTAAGGAACTTTTAAACTAGTCTTTGGTAAAACCACACATGTATATTTATTCTAAATCAACCTGAACTTTTGAAATGTGCAATTGTTGAGATTTTGCAAAATCAATAAAGAAAAACACATGTAGAAAAAAAAGTTATGCTACACCCTCTAATCAAATAAGGTGACCAAGTAAGCCTTAATTTACCATTAGGAAACCAATCAATAATTGACTTGTTTGAGTGATCCTTTGTTTATTTTTAAGAGATAACCTATTTTGTTGATAAATATGTAGAACACAAGCAATTTCTGAATTTAGCTCCTGGTGTTTTGTCTTGGTTCCAAATACAGTAATGTTTATATTTTCTATTAGTTTGTAAATATGGACTCTGGGTGGTGCATTTGTGTCTTCATTCCATGGGTTATCCCCCTCTCCCCAACCCTATCTCCTCTCTATTTTGTTTTTCTTTCTTTTTTTGCAAAGGTGACTTTCTGGCAACRTCTCTGTCTTTGTTTGGTGGTGGGCTTCTTGGGCTCCTGGACCTCAACTTGCTCCCAGATTTTGTGTGGGCAGTGAAGGCTTCAGCATCATGAAGGACACTTTCTTTCTACAGCAGAGGACTCAAAAAACAGATAAAACAAGCTAGTCTCCCATTTTGTATTCTAGTCAAACAACACACATGCCAAGCATATAAAGATAAGGGGGTGGAAAATATCTGAATGAGAAAGGCTCTAAAGGAAGTCACTTAGAAACAAGTTTAATGTGAAATGTTTTACAAAGACACTTAAAATGAACTTTATGTTAAGAAAACCACTGTGAAACTAAATTGTACTGTTATTGTTGGCTTACCTGTGTGTTCAGCAATCACAGCCCAAAATTATGTTGTAACTTAAAGAAAATGGAAAATTCTGCTCTAATGAATGTAACAATGGCTTGCTGTGAAGTTTACATTGTTGTACAGAACATGTTTCACATGTACGTAAATTGGTGGTGGTATTAGAAATACAAATGCTATTTAATTTTAATGAATTCCCTTTATTCATTTCTGGAATTATAGGATGCAGATTAACTGATAAATCTTACTAGACCAATTTCTTTTTCACTTTAATGTTAATAATAGAGCTGTGGGATATATGTGTGTGTGAGCATGTGATTATGTGTTGTATTTTGAAACAATTGATTTTTCTTTGGTAAAATTCTACAGTTCTTATACCTTCTGTTTAGGAAATTATTCCTGCTTGGCAATATAGGCTTTAAAATACATTTTTAGAACATTGGTACAATTCATCTATTGGAAAATTAATATATTGTGGGCTTTTTTGGTATTAATTCTGTGCAATAACTAAAAGGGCACCTCATTAGATATGGATGTTAAAGATGCATTCATTGAGTGATTTCAACTTCTTCATATCTGTGCTGTGCACAGCGACATGGCAATCCAGTTCTGCCTCATAGGTTTCATGGCTTCCTTTAATACTTAGATGGCTAGATCAGTTAGTTTTTCAAATCACTAGGTTGTAAACACTAAGCAGATTTCTGACATACAAGTAATGTTCTAGGAACTGTTTTTTTGCAAGCAGCAGATAACTTATAGAGAGCTTTGAACTGCATTTATTTCTAAAGCAACTGAAGTCTAGTGCTACAAACAGAGGATTACAACTTCTGAGAAGAATAAGCAGAAAGAGCAGATGAACTCTCAGGGCCATAGTCTTCCTTTGATCTTGTAAAACTCCAATTGACATCTGGAGTTCCTAGTCTGGTGAGAAAATAGACTATAAACCAAATGGAACAATGATCCTATCCAATATTTTGGTGGAGACTTTAAAACCATACCATACAAGGATTCACCTGATGTCCAGCAAAACTGACAAAAAAAGTACAGAATTATTTTCTATCAAATGTTTTTAGGTGGCTACTAAGCATCTTTAAAAAAATATCAAATGTTGTATGGAAACAAAACTAAATGTTATTTTCTTTATCTAAATTAATCTCTTGTTATTGTTATTTATGATTTTCTGGATCCTTTATTTTAAAAAATCTAATATTAGTGATATCAAAGTTTTCATTTCTCTTCCTTCATCTTTTTTTTTTTGTTTTTAGCAACCATAAATTCCAATGGAATAATTTAAAAAAGACAACAGAAAGTCCAAATACAATTTGCTATTCAAAGTAAATTATTATTTGAAGCCACTTTAAAAACTCTTGAGAAGGAAAATGGAATGGGATATGGGATTAGGACTATTTAATTTTTAAACACGATTCTTATTATTTAATGTTAACATTTCCTCTGTTTCTTAGAGGGTGAAGGGTTGATATTAAATTGGCAAATGCACTCTTTGGAAATCCTTTTCCATTTTGTCCACAAGGCAGGGTTAAACATTTAATTTCATGGCCTCTGTGCATATAGTGCTCTCTCACAGTATGCAAGAGTATTACCTGCAAGGATAGAATGCAGTTGTGCAACATAGACACATTCTTGTTTCTCTTGGTTTTCTGTTTTTAATGACCCACTTATTGAATATTGGGCTGAAATATAAATTTAAAAAATCACCTTGGAAAGGATGTACAACAGAAGGCTGTGTGTGTATATACAGTATGTTAAAAAGCCTTTTATTTTTATACTTCAAATGCTCTAAATTAATAAAAACTAATAATTACTATGCTATCTTTACTTTTTATTTTGAGAATGCTTTGGTAGAAGAGTTACTTAGTAGAAATATCCCATAGTAGTAGTTCATAACAGGTTTCATCTAGAACATGCAGATATTTTTGTTGACTCATTACTGAAGTAGCATCATTTCAGGATGAAGATATAAAATCAACTTTGGTTATATCAAGACCAAAGAGCTATTTWTTTTTTAGAGTGCATGTTAGTACAAGAATGCTTGGAAATGCTAAGAATGTACTTCTATTTTGAAATATTTTTTCTTTCATACATATTTTAGTATTATAGACAATAAACTTTACACCTGAAGCTGTCACTTAAAACTAACTACCTGGAAATGTAGTTTTACTCTACACTTTTTTTCCTGTGCTAGGGATAGAACCCAGGATCTGGTATATGGGTACATGCTAGGCAAGTGCTTTATCACTGAGCCACACACTCGACCTCTACATTCTTTTTTCCCCTCCACCCAGTACTTCAGATTGAAGGCAGGGTTGCTTTACCACTGAGTTACACCCCCAGTTCTTYTTGCTTTTTATCTTGAGACAAGGTTACTGAGGCAGGCCTCAAAGTTGGGATCCTCCTGCTCAACTTCCCAAGTCACTGGRATTACAGGTGTATGCCCCTACATCCTGCTTTACATTCTTCTTAAGAATGACATAGGTAGGAGTTCTGTACGAGGATATGTGGATGCAATTACAGACAGCACAAATTGGCCCAAGGAGTGCTTCCAATTTGTGATTAATGTTAGTATTTCAGCGACAAAACTTGTCTTCAAAGTAGTTTAATTTCATGTATTCCATTAGTAGTAAAATACATCAGATAGCATGACTTAAAATATATCTACTTTATCAACCATGTAAAATATAAAGTAGATTTAGGAAACTAGAACTAGATAACAGATTTACATTTTAATAACATTCATGAAATTAAACATTCTTAAAAAGCCATTTTAATGCACTTTGAAAATATTCTCCTTCTGTTCTTTAAATATTACTAGTGGAAAAAGTTAACTCCTTATAAAAACTTTAACATTTTTTTCACCCAGTTTTTCCTCAAAATAGCCACAGAAGAATTTACTTTCAAGAACTTAAGCATTTCTAGGCCTCTTAGTTAAAACAATTATCATTATAATGAATTTTCATTATGAAGTAGTATAAGAGGAACATAAGTGATGAAACTCATTTTGCTTTTATAAAAACATAACTGATTCCTATGCAATTTTAATAGTCAACTTATATACCTCATTGTTTCATACTATTTTTTCCACAGCTTTATGTATATGACCCAAACTATCATTTCAAGTTGCCTAAAGATAATTCCTAACGTCTCAAAATAGGCTTTGTTCTTGAACAAGCTGTTTTCCCCTTCATAATCGTATGCCTAGTTTAGCTGATCCGTAGTCTTTCCTCTTCATGGGGTTGCAGAGCAAATACCCATTATCTCAAGGGGAAAATGCTTGGGAGGCAGTCACCAGTTCTCTTGCAGCCATGAATAGGTGTATTCATAAACCAGCAGCATCACTGCACCACCTAGAAAAGAAAAGAACTGTGTTTGTTTGTCACAAATTCTGTGAAACAGCACTGTTCCCCTGGGGTTTCGGAATCCATGAAGTCCCAGGCAGCCCATCAGGCAGGGGCTGTTTGGAACTACCAGTTCTGGAGCTCCAATACATAGATACAAAACTATTGTGGAAAATTCTCAGGGTAAAATCAAGACCATCTTGAGTATCCAAATACATTTTTTCCTCATGAGTTTCTGCAACTTTCATCATTTCTCATCAGATTCTTTTTTCAGGCACTTTTAATTTTTAAAAGTAAATAAATATAGATATATTTAGTCATGTAAGGGCATGTGGCTTTCCTGTGAACAGAAACCTTTAGCTTCTTCATACGTAGGCACAGGAATTTATCTTTTTCAGTCCATAATCGGCATTGTCTTAGGAAATCTCTAAGATGGTGTTTGACAGATGAGTCTATTTATTTCAGATGGCTTTCAAAGTGGATTGCAATGTGAAAAAATATCTTCTGAATGCTTTTTAAAATCTGTACTTGTAAAAGTTGTGAAAAAAAAGGAGGTTGGAAGCTAACCATCATTTCATTTATCTACCTAAGATGTATATAGATTTGAACTTGAAAATTTGGTAGATGAGTTGAGTGGCATGAGACCACGATTTGTCTTGGAAGAAAAGAGTTGTATTAAAAGAGGTTTTCTGTGTAACAAAGCAACAGAAATATGATTCAGGAAAGCAAGTTCAATACTGGGAGAAGCAATTGCATGTGAATCATTTTGTGTTCTATCTGATGCAGAAATAGTATGTATCCTCTACTTTAGGACAATCCTTTCGTGTCTAATGGTAGGAAAAATATTACAAGATCAAAATGTGGACAAGTATCCTGAGAACAACTTAGAGAAGACTCAGCTATCTCAAGAGAAGATTGACTTCTGACAGAAAGAAATGAAACTCGATTTTGGTCTTATTTGTGTACACTTCCATATGCTTCTTTTTTTTTTTTTAATCTACATGCTGCACATGTTTGTGAAACCATATACCAAAGATGATTATCTGTCTGTAATTTTCATTTTTAACCCATGAAGATACTCTATTAGGCCCCTTACAGCTGTTGTCACCCTCTGGGAACTCAGCAAACAAAAGAAAATGAACCACAAATGCATATGTGATTACTGTGTTTACTCTTATCAACTGTTCACAGTGTAAGGTAGGAACATACAGAATTGGGTTAGTTTTCAGCTTCATGAGAAGATTTGGAATTTAAACCACAAACTTCAAGATTCTTTTCTGGGAAATACCTGATTATTAGGCACATAGAGCTGTTAAGGCTATTAGAAACAAGATGAGATGCTTCTGCTGACTGAAGGCTGAAAATTTCAGGTTCATCATTCTTTTCTGCTGTCTCCTTTTTTTTTTTTTTTTTTTTTTTTTAAATCTTGGTTGGCCTTAACTTGAAAGTCTTACCTTACTTCTCTTTGAAGAAGGAATTTGCACATTTGAAATGAAGTAGAGGCTAGGTCCCTGAAGTTATTTACAATTTTGTTTAAACTGGACAGTAAATTCATGACAACCCTTTTCATGGGGTTTAACACCACAGCAACTCAGAACCCCTCATGCAAAGCATTTAAAGCCCAATCAAACATTTGCAAGCCTCTAACAAAACTTGGGGGCAGATTATTTAGCAGTTTGGGATTAAGGTTCTAGTCAATTACCATTTTAGCTAAACTCTCCCTGGTTTACCACCCTTTTTAGGTCCATCCTTTTCTAAGAAAGCTGATTTAGGGCTACTCCTGCAATTTTTCTCTAATATTATATCTACCAGCAGGTTTTTATTATGTGGTAAAGGAAAAACACTACCTATACTACTTGAAAATATTCACAAAATTCCCAACATTTTTCATTAGTGAGTTTCTTTTAACACATGATTAACAGAAGGCAGGTCCCAATCTCAAATGCAAAACAGAATTGGTGCTTAATATCTACAAAAGTTGGGATAAATAGAATACATGAAAGTGTGTACTGCTTTCTTAACTTCAATTTATAGATGGATGTTCTTTATCTTAGGATGGAAGAATTGCTAGTTTATTGGGTTAAGATCGAAAGGTAAATGTGCATGTGTTTGAGTGCAGCATGGGAGGAAGATGGTAGTATTAAAATGAGGAATGGTAAAAAGAGAGAGGAGAGATTACCAGGAAGTCTAAGTAGGGGCACATGCCTGGTTAGAATTTAAAAAAAAAAAAAGAAAGAACATACTTTTGGTCTAGAGCATACTTCTGTACTTATTCACAAGATTACTAATAATCCAAGACCATTTGTTCAGGCGGTTGAGTCTGCCACAGTGATTTTCTTATCTATTTACATAGAGACAGCTGACTTTCCCTGTGGGGATGGCAGTCAGCTTTTTGTGGGCTGGCATACTCAGGTAAGGCTTGAGCCAGCAGTTGTCACTGTCAAGCTGACAGAGGCCAGGAAAGGTGAGTGCCCAGTCAGGGGTGTCACCACTCCCCAGAGGTGACCCTGAATATAAGTGACTTTTGCTGTTCATGGAGGTGATTCCTCCTCCTTTTCTCCTTTTGAAATAAAGTTGAAGCAGGAGCAAGACTGAGCTGGGAGCACAGGAAGAGTTTTATCTGACTGGTCACTCACCCAGTGACCACTTTAGCCAGAAGCCAAGGTGCATGTTAGCGCTCACTTGAACTCAACAGACTGTGGATCCTTTCCCATTGACTTAAGTTGGGCTTTGTCTCCCATTAGCTTCCAACAGGCCCATAAATAGTACTTTCTAAACAAAGGTAGAACATTTCTGATAGATGCCTTTAGTCTCTTGACTACTGATAGACAACTTTATATCCTCACAGTTTCCCCTCTCACRGTGTGATAAATTTTTACTATGTTGCTGATAGACACAAATGACAAAAGAAGAAACACTAGAACAATAAGGAAGGGAGAATATAAATAATAAAAGCATCATTACCTGGTCCAAGTCTCATAATTTTGGGAAGCAGTCCTTTGTACAAGGCTAAAATCCTAAAACCAGAGAGGAAAAAGCAAAATTCTCATTCCAAAAATAAATGGAGTTAGACCTCAGCTTTATTGAGATGCTGGCCCAGCATTTAAAAAGAAACTATTTGAAATTGAACCACCCCAAACCTGACAGTATCTGGCTTAGCATTCCCTACTGCAATTTGGATGAGGGGAAAGAGTTAATCAATTCTTTATTACCCAGGCTATGCTGGTCTTGTCCAATCAGAAACATGACTTTCATCAGCAAAATGGTTTTTGCTTTCAAGACAGGTCTTGCTTTCAAGGCAGCTGTGTATATGGCCAAGATGACTTTTGTAATCGAATTTAAAAGACCACAAACTCAGTCTTCACATTAGGAAATATGATGCAGTTTAGAGCAAAATAATAAAGTATCACTTGTTTACCTGAGAATCAGTAATTGGTGAGGAGGGGTGAAGAGATAGTAAAATTTTTAAAAAATCAGAAAAGGCACATTTTAAATACAAAAAAATCTAATTTTACAGAATTCTCCTATTTAATTCTCCCAGGAGAATATAATTAGGTGACATTTTTATTAGATTTAGTCAGAAGACAATAATTCTACCCATATACTAATAAGACATGTAACACGCAATATCATATTATGCCAACTGATAAGAAGTTCATCTCACGGCACAAACTGGATGGTATAAGAACATTTTGCCAGCGTCTTGTTATTGTGTAGCTTTGTGAAGTTTGTCATATAGTCCACAGAACTCCTTCAATACACACCCAATCTAGGAGTCTTACTGACTCCCACCAAAATAGAAGTACAATATGGTTTTAACAATACTTGGACCTTGCACACTTATTAAAGTAAGAATGTGTTACCCTTCTTCCTGATAGACTGTTGCCATTGTTTTAAAACAGGTTCTGTACTTGATCTCTCCAGGAACTGGCTGAGGTCCTTGAATCCTACTTTTGGCAACATCAAAAGGGATGTTAATGACTGAGGCTATTGTCCCCGAGAGAAGACCAATCCCAAATTTTCTCAAAAATTCCAAGGTTGGATCCTAAAAGAGAAAAAGAAAAAAAAAAAAAAACAGAAAGGGAAGTGGAAGCCCCTACATCAGTTAAACACTATAATGCAATATGTATTTAAGCAGAGCACTGCACTCCCTGGCACCCTCCTGTTACTCCAGCGGAACGCATTAGGATTTCCTAGGCTGGAACTTGTTTTCTTGACAATCCCATTGGCTATGTTTTTACACATGGTCTAAATTGCTGAAGTACACATTTCCTCACACAGGATTTATAAACACAGTTCATAAAGAAAGACTGGTATGGCATATGGGGATGATTTGTATAATTGGGCTTCACAATGTACTTAGTATTACTGTATCAAAACAGGAGAAATCCAAGCACACTATTAGCTAATTGGCCAGAATATTTTACAAATGACAGCAACTTCCACCATGAAGCCTACTAAAATGCTCATTTGTGTGTGGACCCCCAAATGTTAAATTAAATCAAGGCTACTCTCAGTCTGCTGCTATTCCCCTCCAGGTTTTTTGCATTTATTTTCACGTGTAGCTGATCCACTGTACTGARAAGTGCTAGCTTCCTGTTATTAACAAACCAACTTGGGGCGGCTGCAAAACAGCCTGTGACATTCTGTGCATTATAAACAGTAGTAAGGCACTGGACTAATTGGCTGAAGAATTTATAACCCATTGTTCCTGAACTTATTCTTCTTCATGGCAAAAGAAGAAAAGGAGAGCTGTGTGTGTGTGTGGGGGGGGGGTGCAGGGAGGGAGAGAGAGAAATATTTCCTTTTTCCATTTGAATTTAGGCTCTTCACGTTGGTCTGATTTGATTTTCCACCCCTCCCTGCTCTGCTCTCTGACATCAAAGTATTTAATTAGGTCTTATGTGGGAGTCACTTTCCTTCAGCCTATTTTTGTGCCCAGTGAGCTCACATTGTGCTTTGTTATAATGAATTTGTTGGGAAGTTCTCATTATGTTTGCAGCCTCAGTTCTTGCCATGAAGAGAAGTCATGGCACATATCATCAGCTGCTGACTCTGACTCCCATCTTATCTTTCTCCCCCTCTCTCTTTTGGTGAATATTTCAGAAGCATCATCACAGAGGAACAATACAGGTTGTGCCATGACATTATTTTATATGGCAGAACTAAGCGAGAGAAGCATACCCTGAGAAAGAAAGAAAGAAACAGAAAGAGAGGGAGGAAGGAAATAAATTCAGGTCTCAGCACTGCAGGTTTCTAGCTTCTATGGAAGAAGAAAACTCCTGGAGGCTCTGAAATTCTCAACTGAACCAGGAGCTAGTTACCATCACAAAAACTCCTATGAGGCTGAATATAAAAAGCAAGGGATTCAGTAATAATTCTTGGATCTAGGCCATACAGGTGCCGGGGAGGTTTAAAGGGATTTAAAAACCAACAGGGTGTTTCTACAGGAAAAACAATGCAGTGATTGCAGTAAGAGTGAGGTGTGTTTAAATAATTCCCCCTCCCCCCATTTTTTCTCTTTTACAAGGAGAGAAAAATGCCTTTATGTTGCCCTTCTCTATTATGGCATAGAAGCAGAACCGGAGCTCTGGAGGACGGCAAATTCAGCACCAGCTCAAGTTGTCTCAATTTGGATGAGTCACTGAATCCCGCAGAGCCTATGTATAGAGGGAAGTTTTTAACACCTACCTCACCTGGGTAGTGTCATTTTCTGAGAAATAAGAGTGATAAGAGGGGAAATGTGCTATGAATGTTGTACAAGCCTAGCAGAAAATGGATAGTATTGTGACATAGCYTGTTTTCTAGTTGCAAAGCATCCTGTAAAAACATGCCCTCATGGTGTCCCTGTGACACAACCAAGTTCTCTTTCTTTTTCTATTGAGCAAAAGATTGAAAATGATGACCATATGCACGTTATTCTTCTGAGAAGTTTAGCTGACATCATCAAGCACTCAACCTCTCCCACCTCCTGATGTGTTTGCTGAGGACCAGGGATAGGAATGGAAGGTAAGCTAAGACATTGCAAGATCACTGCTTTAGGCACKATTAGAGACCAAAACCTAAGGTTTCCAAGCCAGCAGTGTTCACTGGCCAAAGTGAGTGTCAACCCTGCATTTTCTGTACATTCCTCACCATAATGGTAATGTCCCACAGTAGATTCCAAATCCAGCTATGCATCAGAATCACCTGGCAGCTTTACAAATACAGATGCCGGCCCCCTATCTTGACCCAGCGTAGCTTCTCAGATCAGAATCTCTTGGAAAAGCACCTGAAAGTGGTTTTAAAAGCTGTCAGACTTCAGTTCTGGGAGCCAGTGATTTTGGTGTTCTATGCAAAGTAGATGGCTGCTTGCTGCCTTGTGGGCATTCCAGGGTGAAAAAGTTCTTTTGGAATGGCTGAGAGTATTCCTCACCACCTGGCTTCTGAACTCTGATCAATTTCTTCCCCTGACCCCACAGTTTGCTTTATGACGTCATCCCAGCGGGGACTGGGTGAGCCAAGGAGGGCCCCCTCCACTCCYGTCTGCTATCTTCACTACATGGGGTCATGAACCATGTAGTGAAATTTAGTCTCTCAAATGCYTCCTTCTCTGTTCCCTCCCAGCCACCTCACCTCTCTGGCTTCACCAGGTCTTGCTTCCTTCCTGACTTATGGTCTAGTTTTCACAAAGACATTGGGGCTTTTTTTTTTTGTTAAGAGATTTGCTTTTGTTATCTTCCTACTCAAAGATCTTCAATACTTCCCTGATGCATCGAAACTAATGCCAAGGGCTGGGGATGTGGCTCACCGGTAGCGCGCCTGCCTGGCATGCGGGCGGCCCAGGTTCGATCCTCAGCACCACATACAAACAAAGATGTTGTGTCCGCTGATAACTAAAAAATAAATATTAAAATTCTCTCTCTCTCTCTCCCTCTCTCTCTAAAAAAAAAAAAAAAAAAGAAACTAATGACAAAATACTCTTTCAGTTTCCTTCACATGATACTCTTTCAACTACATTCCTACACCCAATCCATATTATAGTCACACTGGTTAATTCATACTGACCCAAATATACCAAGCACATTCCCAATTTTTGGCCTTTCTTCAAATTACTCCACAGCTGAGAATGTCTTTCTTTATCGTATTCAGCTAGGGCAATCTCATTTCTCCTTTAAGATCAAGTTTAAATCTCCCTTGCCCAAGAAACTTATGGATACCTATATCAGAGTTAATTTTTTCCTTTCCTCTGGCCTGAGACACTGTCTTAACTCCATCACCCTTGGTATGGTTCATTTTGTGTTTTGTTTATTTTGCATGTATCTATCTCCCTTGCTGGATTATGAGCCCATACAAAACAAGAGTCGTGTTATATTTCTTTGCATTTTCTATTTTGTGGTGTACATAGTAGGTGCTAAATAAATAACGGCCAAATGACTATCAATGCACCTACTTATTTTACTGTTATACAAACATTAATCATTGATGATTCTTTCTCAAGATTCTGCATCTATTTGCTAGGAAATGGACCTATTAGCACTCTTCATTTCCATCTTTCCATCAGGAAGCATCAACATGAGAGCAAGACAAGGCATTGGCATTTGGAAAGTGTAATAGTTCAGAGTAGATAAATTGTGACTCTCAGGCYACAGAGCCACGCTCCATTGCCCACTGACTCTCAGAGAACAGCATGGCATGTCAGGCTCAGACCAGATTTTAGCAAAAATATACAACTGGAAATAGAGTGAGACTCAGAAATGTTACTCTTTGCTTAATAGCCAGAGGAATCCACTTCTAAAAGAAYGAGCACTGTCGTAGCTGGATTACAGAGAGAAAAAGGTAGCATTTAATATTTGGGTTTCAAAATAAGATCTTGATCATGAAGAGGGAAGTTCTGGAGGAGAAGCATCATCTTGGAGAAGATTGGGGGCAGGGAGCAAAATTTGAGGAGTCCACATGGGAAGAAAGAGGCTCCACCAGTGGCTTGGCCAGAAAGTCACCACAGGGAGGACCTCCTGCATACTGTACCATGCTTTACCATCCTGGGAAGGACCCTGTGGCTGGGGAGGAGCACCTCCTCTGACAGCAGCTCTCCTGGCTGTCCTTGATAACTGCTGCCTAACCAGGCAGATATTTAGATCTGCATCATTCACGGGCCTGTGACAGACCTTCTAGTGATGACACTGCTGAGCTTAGGACACTATGTTCCCAGCCTTCCTACTTGACCTTTTCCTTCCTACCATCCTTTCACTTCAGGGTAGCTACATCCTTTAATCTGCCATAGAAAAGGTAACAATTTTAATAACATTAAATGTTTAAGTATGTTTTCTGTGCCAGACCTGCTAAGGACAATTATGTATGCCTTAGGCCAGTACATCTTTACAACCTTTGAACTAATAACTATTATTATTATTCTTATTTTACAAACAAATTTGTAAAAGTTAARTATAGGAAGAGAATGTTCGTCACATTCAAGCGAACCCAAGACTTTGCCTCAAGGCATTTGTTGCCTGGTATGAGTCCATGGGTGGGCTGGTGGGGAGATGTCCAAGAACTTCTCAGAATTATAAGCAGTGCTTCTGTGTATGTGCATATGCTTTTCTGGGAATAGTGTCTATAGATTTTATCAGGCTTGTAAAAGCTTTTAAAAAAAAAACTTCACGAGAGCATTTTCTCTACCAATAAAGTAAGTAAAGTTTATAAAGTAAGAAAAGGACAGTGCAGGGTTAAAAACAGTCTGATAACAGGAAGCCCAATTTTCACATACAGTTATCAAGCAATTCACCTTAGTGAACAGATTTCCACTCACGTTCCTGCTATGGAGTCCCATTACACATTACCTCAACCACATCCACCCACTCAGTGGCTCTCAATCCTGGGCCCAGGCCACCATCATTACCACCATGTGGGTCCTTATTAGAAATAAAAAGTGGTGTTTCACCCCAAACCTACTGAATCTGGAGATGGAGACCAAGAATTGGTTTAAACAAATTCTTCAAGTTATTTGGATAGTTGCCAAAGTATGAGAACCACTGTTTAACTGAAGTTTAAAATTCATCCTCTTTG